CCCCAAAACCCCAAAACCCCAAAACCCCAAGTTAAAAATTTTCTGAATGGATTACTACATCATAACATTTAAATTAATAATATAATAGAATAGAAAGTATATTACAAGCAAATATGAACAAGAGTAATATGCATAGTGGTAATATTCCATCAATAGATAATCAAATAGAAATGACGAAATTGAACCAGGAACGAAATCAAAACCTGTTTTAAGATGACGACGATTACAACGATGATGGCAAAGGATATCAGCATACTCAGGAGAGATATAATGATTAGCAGCAATAGCAAAACCAAAAACAAGGAGGCCAATAATTTATTAAAAAATCTGACTCTGATCCTCAAATGGATGTAAACTCAGAGGATGAAGTCTAAAAACCCCTCATTTAAAAGGTATGATTCTGTTATTTACTAAATTTAGGCTAAGAAGGTTGAAGTAAGTATCATACTAAGCCGCTTAAAATTGATTTTAATCCATTTATTAGCCTAAGTTACCAAGATGCTACGGATTGAAGAAATTTTTCGGATTGGTTGTATCTCGTGAGGTAATGATAGAATTATCCTAATAACACCATTTATAGAAAAGAACACTGTATATGAGTGGAAGAGCTATCCCAAGAAGGTATTCTCCCAACAGAATAAGGAATTAAAAATACAATATTCTTACCTTTATTCCTGTGGTTCTATTCAATTAGTTCAAATTCTTTTTCAACCTATTTTTCCTCTTAATTTGTCTTTCACAATTCATACCTGCCTTGAAAGTTGGTAAGCAATAAATATATAATATTTACTCAACCTAATTTGCCTTATCTTAGGTTTCTTATTCACATATATCGCTCCTTTGGCATTTGTGCTGTTCATCACTCTAATGAAGGAAGCATGGGATGACTTATAAAGATATTCAAGGGACAAGGAACTCAACAACAAAAAACATGAGTAAGAATTTGAAATCTAAAACATAATAATTAATGTTAACTTTTAGGAAGCTGACACTTTCTGGTAATTATGAAATGGTGACATCAGCAAACATGAAGGTTGGAGATATCATTAAGGTGCATTAAAACCAAAGAATACCAGCTGATATGCTGCTTCTGTACACAACTGAGAAGAATGGTGCAGTTTTCATCAGAACTGACTAGTTGGATGGTGAGACTGATTGGAAACTTAGAAAAGCAGTTACTTTCACCTAAAAGGTTCACCCATGCGAACAGATTATTAATATGGATGCTCATGTAGTTGCCAATCCTCCCAATGACTAAATTTATGACTTTAAAGGTTATTTCTAAATGGGAAGAGACACGGAAAGCAGTCAGAGAGAGGGTCTATCTCTTGAAAACTCACTTTGGGCTAATACTGTTTTGGCTTCAACTGGATTCATTCTAGGTTAAGTACTATACACTGGCAAAGAAACTAGATCAGCTATGAACGCAAGAGAGCCCAGTACTAAGATGGGAAAACTAGATTAGGAAGTTAATAGACTTTCAAAGTTCTTGTTCTTCTTTATGATCTGCATTTCCCTCGGGATAGTCGCATTGGATGAGTTCAAAGGATTTTGGATCATTAAATTCTTTAGATTCGTTTTGATTCTCTCCTACATCATTCCAATTTCTTTGAGAGTCAACTTAGACATGGCAAAGATCTTCTATTCTTATTGTATTTACAAGGATAAAGAAATAGATGGGACGATTCCTAGAAATTCAACTATCCCTGAGGAACTGGGCAGAATACAATATCTACTAACAGACAAAACTGGTACTCTAACCAAGAATGATATGATTTTTAAGAAAGTAGCCATGGAATATGCTCAATTTGATTTAGAAAATCTACCAGATTTAAAAACAATGCTTGATGAAAATTGCGCAAGATTTGAAGGTCCTATGGGTGATTTAGCAAATATAAGCAGCAACAGGAAGAACACCTAAGAGTCTTAAAATCCAAAGAATCCACTCTAAAGAGCAAAGGGCGGTAAGAGAAGAGATTAAAACTTCATGGTTAGAGATATGATAACTTGCCTAGCACTATGCCATAATGTAACCCCGACATACCCAGATCCAAATGATCCAACTATCAGAGATTTCTAGGCTAGTTCTCCTGATGAAGTAGCTCTAGTAAAGTTCTCTGACTCCCTAGGCATACAACTTCTAGAGCGTGACTAGTAAAAGATCATAATCTAGAACACAGCTGGAGTTAAGGAGGAATATTAAGTACTAGCAAATTTCCCTTTCAGTTCAGAGACTAAGAGAATGGGTATTGTTTTGAGACACTCTTAATCAGGAAAACTTATTTTCTATCTTAAGGGTTCTGATACCATTATGAAGAACAAAGTGAGACCTAATCAAAGAGCAGTTATTTTAGAGGCTTGCGAAAACCTTGCAATGGAAGGACTTAGAACTTTAGTCATTTCATAGAAATTAATTGAAGATGAGTTCTTTGAATTCTGGCTTAGAAGATACAATGAGGCTAAGGCTGATTTGAATAATAGAGAGACTCTGATGGCTAACTGTGTTCTAGAGCTAGAGTAAGATATGGAGTTACTTGGTATTACAGGAGTAGAAGGTATGGCTTTTCAATTATTTCATTCACTCTATAGACAAGTTACAAGATGAAGTTGCTATCACAATTGAAAGCTTAAGATCAGCCGGTATCAAAGTCTGGATGCTAACAGGAGATAAGGTTGAAACTGCTACTTGTATTGCTATGTCTGCAGGTTTTAAGAGCAAGAAGCAACACTTCTTCTATATAAAGGAACAAAGAGAGCTAAAACAAGTAGAGTATCTTATCAAGGAATTCTCAAGAAAGACTGATAATGTTCTCATGATAGATGGTGATAGTCTAGATGTCATCCTTTAATCAAAAGCACTTGAAGAGGCATTTTTCTCTATTGCAACTTTAGCACCTTCAGTTTGTGTTTGCAGGTGCTCACCAACTTAAAAGGCACTTATAGTGAGAAAAATTACTGATTATACCTAGAAGAGAACTGCTGCTGTTGGAGATGGTGGAAATGACGTCGGCATGATTTTAGAAGCCAATGTAGGAATAGGTATAGTAGGAAAAGAAGGAAAGCAAGCATCTCTCGCTTCAGATTTCTCGATTAACTAATTCTCATACCTAAGAAGACTCATACTTTGGCACGGAAGATTATCATACAAAAGATCAGCAGTCCTATCTCAATTCGTTATTCATAGAGGACTCATCATATCAATTATTCAAGCCATTTTCTCAATTATTTTCTACTTTGTTGCTATTCCAATTTACAATGGCCTATTGATGCTTGGATACTCAACTATATACACTAACTTACCAGTCTTTTCACTAGTATTCGATGAGGATGTCAATGTATCTGCTGTTATGAAGTTCCCACCACTTTACTCTACACTTCAAAAGGGAAGATCACTTTCAACAAAGACCTTCTTAATTTGGCTCTGGAAATCTATCTTTTAAGGCTGTGTAATTATGTTGGCCACTGTTATGTTCTTCAACGAGTCATTCACAAACATCGTCACAATTACCTTCTCAGCCTTAATCATTATTGAACTACTTAACGTTTACTCAGAGATTAACAAGCCAAACTGGAAAATGATAGTATCATCTGTGTTTACATTTGTAGTTTATATTCTAAGTATTGCACTTTTAAGATCATATTTTGATACTTCCTATATCACCTGGTAATTCGTTCTGAAGGTACTTGCTATCACATTACTTAGTTGGCTTCCTCTACACGTTGCTAAATGGATAATCATGAAGATAGATCCTACCGAGCAACAGAAAATTATGAGGCAAGAGCACTGATGAAGGAGTTATGATGTTTAGGATAGATACTATTAATAATGAAATATCTCAATTAAAATAAACATTTAAATAAACTTCTAACAATAATCTATCCTTTAATGGGGTTTTGGGGTTTTGGGG